ACTACAACAAGCTCACACTTGGCAAAGGGACACGACTTCAGGTTTTTCCCAGTAAGTGCCACCACTGTCTTGTAGTCTCCTTCCACAAGAGGCAAAGCTACCCACTACCCAATGGGCAGCAGCCTTTCCAGCATTTCTCTTTCTGGGCTTGTGTCTTTTCAGTTGTGGGGTTACACGTTGCCTGCTTCCCTCCAGGACGGGCTTTGGCTCAGGGCAGAAGCGGCATTTTACCATTAGGTCCAACAGTGCTCTTGATCCCACAGTCAGATCAGGGGGGTCTTGATTTCAGGATGGAGCTGACTCCTAGTGATAGTATCAGCACTGGCTAGCTGGGCTCTGGGTGTCCAGCTTTGCCAAACGGTTGGGAAGGATTTTGCTGAGAGAGGAAATGCTGTGTGACCACGGGAACTGGTGCATATCAACCTGTCTTTGGCTCTGGAACGAGACTCGCTGTTAGGCCACGTAAGTCCAACGCTGCTCCTATGCTTTCTGTTTTCTTTGAAGCCTTTCCTGAGGTGGGTTCGAGCAGCATTGTTGCTGTGTGTTTGGTCATTTATTTGTGATTATAGCTTCAGCTTCAGCAATCTGACCTTTGGTTCTGGGACCAGACTGTCCGTCTAGCCCAGTGAGTGTGCATCTTGCCTCTGTATCCTTTATCAAAAGTCCTTCAGTGTCCATCAGAGCAGCCTGTAGACATTCTTATTATCTCCAGGTAAACTTTCATAGGGGAAAGAGAACGCAGGCACTATTTCATGGAATGCAGTAAATGTAAGCTGTCAGAGGACTCTCTGAACCAGAGAACTTGCATGAAGTTCCAACTAATCACAGGTGTAAAATTCTCTTGTGCCTAGACGCAGCTTCCAGGTGGAGGACTTCTGCTATTTAGAGAAACGTGCTATAGACATGGTGCTCCAGGCTGATGGTAATCCAGCAGCCAACTGAAATAGAGGTGTGGTTTGGGACAGACAAAGAGATTGACCAGCTTCTGCTCAGTACTTTTCTATGGCTGTGGGAGGCCATGGAGGATATGTAATGGGGGTTCAGTTCTGTTCCTTAGAGAAGTTCAGGTAAATCGGTCCAGGGTCAGATCGTGCTTGGTGCAAATGTTTCCTGATAGTCATGTAAAATAGCTCTAGGTTTGTGGATTCTTTTTCTGGTCATAACAAGAGAGAGAAAAGCTGTGGATCATTATGAGATGTGCTTTCAGTCTGGTGAAAGTGTGGACAAAGGAAGAAGGAATCTAATGTGGCTGAGCACACAGGCAGAAGTGGAAAGACCCTCAAATTAAATTGCCCACCACAGATCCACTCTGCAGAAATGCAGCAAGTTTGCATTTATAGTGAGCATCCCGCTTGCCCAGCATGTAAGTGGAGAGGCTGCTAATAGTCTGATTGGTGCAGGTGCCTCCAGCAGGCAGCTAACCCTCTGGGTTTCTGTAAAGTATTCTACTGTTGTGACAACAGCGTCAAATTCATCTTTGGCTCAGGGACTAAAGTCACTGTCTTGCCAAGTAAGTGGGTTAGTGCCTGTGTGTTGCAACCTCAGAGGATATTTACGTCCTAAGGGTGTACTGTGACACAGCAATAAAAGGAATTGCCTAGCTGAAATGCATAGTACTAATATAAATACTGTAATAGTTCTTGCATTGTAAGATATTCCACCTGTAGGTGGAAATCTGTACCAATAGGAAAGTGGACTTCATCAGTTACTCTGAACTTAAACTGGATTCATGTTGTAATTCCCATTCCTTTTTGCCATTCCAGTGCAACAAGGCTTTGGGGCAGGGATCATAGTGTTCCCTGCCACCTAAGGAGCAGGTTCTTCCCATCTCTGATACCTGAGGTGACTGTAAACAAATCTAGTTATTCCCATGCATTTCAACATGGAAAAAGGTATTTGGCAAATAGAGGCTAGGGGAGGTCTGTGGAAAACTGTATGGGCATTTATAGCTTCTCTGAGAGGCAGGTCCATGATGGGATGTATCCAAGGCCTCCAACACCTACTGAGATGGCTGAATGCAGAGGCCTACTGTCACACAGTGCTAGTAGTGGAGTGTGGGGAAAACTCATCTGGGGAAGTGGAAAATAGTGTTTGGCAAACAGAGGCTAGGGGAGGTCTGTGGAAACCTCTATGGGCATTTATAGCTTCTCTGAGAGGGAGGTCCATGATGGAATGTATCCAAGGCCTCCAACACCCACTGAGGCGGATGAATGAAGAGATCCATTTTGTAAAGACTTGTCACACGGTGCTGGCAGTGGAGCATGGGGAAAACTCACCTGGGGAAGTGGAACCAAACTTCTTGTTGTCCCAGGTGAGCTGTCTCTTCTCTGAATCGAGATGGACCCAATATAGATGACACTGTACTCTGGCTTGAAAACTAACAGCGTAGTGGCTTTGTCGAGCAATTTGGGATGGTTTTAGTATTCCCTGGAAAGAAGCGGTATGCTTCCTGTTTAACCAATGTGCACTTAGAAATGCGTCCATCCAGTGGAAAGGAAGCAAGTGAAAAGTGAAAACAAGTAAGTGAAATACAAGAACAGAAATGCTGAAAACATGGAGTGGTCTTTAGTAAGCGGTGCCAGCTTGGACTTGTTTTGGCAAGGGAATTGTCTTGTGGGTCTTCCTTGTGGTTTTAATGAGACTGCAGTGTGGGGAGGAAGAAGAATAAGCAACGGACGTGGAGGCAAGATGTGATGCAATGCAAGTGTGTGCATGGAGAAATTGTGGGATTTCCTGAGGAATGTTCTTGAGGTGGATTGGGGTGGCTAGGAGGGTAGGAAGGGTTTTGCTATGGCAGTTAATACAGTGCCTATAAATACCTACCTACTTACGTTTGGACATGGAACCATGCTTGGGAAAGAGGTCTTTTCTTGGTTGACTTTAAGTAAGGGTTCTGGTCTTGCCTTTCAGCAGTAAGTGAGGTTTTGATGCACTGTGCCCTGATCTCTGTCTTTGTGTGAATGCCTTTTCCAGTTGTATATCATTTGGTTTACAGAGGTTCCAGCATGCTAAGCCAGTTTTTATCATGCAAAACTAGCTAGTTGTGAAAACTGGGAGAGTGCATTTGGATATCCTTGGCTAAATTAGCGAAGTTTGGCTCCAACTGGTTTCTCTTTTTGTGGTTTGGTTGTGGGGGTTATTTCGTGGGGGTTTTTTTAGTTGTGTTATTTTTTTTCCTTTTATACCTCAGGAGTAAACTTCTGTGCATAGCCTGAATTCAGGTTCTGATATTTGATGTTTCTGCATTATTCTTTTCAGCCTTTCTCAAAATAATCATACTGTTCAGATTCTTCTGCTATCTAGTGCAACTCTGGTTCTCTGTGGCTCTGGATAATGGAAAACTGACTATATATTGCACAGTGTGCTCATTTGTGTGTGTGTATCTATATAAATATCATTACTGAACCTGGGCTGCTGTGGAAGACCTAGTTCTGGAACGGATGGAAGGGAGATTTCTGTTGTGTGCTGAACCACTCTGCAGAATTCGGGGCATGATACAAGCTCACGTTTGGTAGTGGCATCCCCCCTCAGAAAGTGTTAATTAATACAACATAAAGTGCAGCCTGTAGAGGAGGACGGACATCACAAGAGAACAGAGCAGAAAGGTAACACAGACTGGTGAGACTCAACAGCAGCAGTCAGAAAGCTTCTAAATGCTAGAAAGTTGTACGTGCACACACTGATTGACAGATGCTGCTATTGTGTGGAGGCAGAAGAAAGAATAAACAGATGACTAACTAGGTGGTGGACAATAGCTAGACTAATGAGTGTCAGGAATGACTAAGTAGGCAGAGGAATGTGGCTGAAAGAAGTGTTTATTTGACTGTATGTGCTGAGGAGGTGGCTAATAATGTTAGTTAGATTATTCCAATAAGAATCTTGCATTTCCATGTTCTCAAGTCTAAATCCAGCATACGTGCATACCAGTGCAGCATTTTGCAAAGCATACTGTCACAGTGTAATTCTGTGAGGTATGGCAAGCTTACATTTGGACCTGGAACCAAACTCACAGTTTCTCCAGGTATGTCTGAATTGTCAGATGTGATTCCTCTTGGAAGTATTTCTTTCACTTTGCCAGTTATTTTACCTATTTTGTCACTCCACAATATATTAGGAATAGGACTACAAATTTTTAACTGCTATAAGAGCAAGTGATTTCCATGGCTGCATACGTATTTTCCCCTCCCTATTCCTGATGATGAAATAGCCATAGCTATACAGATGAAATAGCCATAGCAGAAGTTTTACCTATGCATGAGGTTTTTACTGGAAAGTCAACAGAAAGTGGTCTCCTAAATGAAAAATCCTCACATAGACAAGAGGCAAAGGGAAACGGAGAAAGCCAGCACAGGCCAGCAAAATGCAGACTGATGAGACTAGCCTCATAAAGCTGCAGCAGGTAAAAAGGACTTTTCTAGTACATGGCTGTTAACACTTTAAGATAACAAGACTCCTAATACTATGCTGAGGCAAAATATAAGCACATATTGGGTCTTTGCTTTGGAGACCCTCAATAAATCTGTAATGATAGGCGGTGGGTTTCTGAGTTGTTGTGGAGCATTATATAAATACTTATAGGAAGTAGCTTAGGAAGCGAGGTCATCCCTGAGAATAATACTAAGTTTATAATCACAGCCAACTAGTGTTGAATACTGTGAAATTACCTTGGCCGTCAACATCCATGTGAAGCTTGGAGCACATTAGAAGTGAAGCTCTGAAACTGTTGTTTCTGAAATGTGAGAAGTCTTAATAGCTAGGGGTGGAATAGATAACCAGACAGAGGGGAAAGAGGTCAATAAGCATAGCTGAATGACTTTTGGGAAAAGATGGAAAGGTGATCCTGACCACAAAATAATTTTCTCTGTACAAAAAAGCTTGAAAAAAATTGTGCTTTGGCAGGTGCTGCCACCAGTGTTTGAAAAAATATCCTCCCAAAATCCTCTTTTCTTGTCTGAAACTCTTCGTAAAAGGGAAGAAAGTATGGCAGATCCTGAAACACCAATGCTTTTTTGTAATTCTATCAATTTTTCCAAATTTCTTAAGAATACTTTTAGGAGAATTTAATATCTAAATAATTTGCCTTTACTTTTGAAAAGTAGTGTTTCCATTTCTTAAAATGGTAGTGATTGTTAAGAAAATTTCAAAATAATTTTATTATGAAAGTCAAATAGCATAGTAATATAATGAAACTGTTCATTCTGAAAACCTCTGGGGAAATTCCTCATATCTCAAATGACCCTCCTGACCCTGTTCAAGAACATCTGAGAAAAATAAGAATCTCAAGTTTGTATGGAGCTATCAGCAAGCTAAAGGAGCTATAAATCAAGGCTCTGCCTGAGATCATTTACATGTCCCCAGATTTACCATTCTGGTCATGTCTGTATGCAACTGCTCCAGATCTTGCTCTGGTCACAATGTAGAACCTAAGAGCTTCCCAAGTGCATCTTGAAACCTCAGTGTTTAATGGCAGAATAAGTAATGGTCTCCCTGCCACAAAGAAACTGCATACCAAAAAGTGTGCTTTCTACTTAAAAGCTAACTGGCAAATTTGCTCTGGAATGACTCATGACTAATTCAGATGGCAAATACAAGAAAATGGGATGATAGCATTTGTACTATGCCATCAATTAAAGGTGAGCTGTGAAGTAATAGTAAATAAACTAACTTTTGAGAGAACAATCTGACTGGCAGATTAAATAAACAAAGAATAAAATGACGAATAGAACTCGTGATGCAAGTGGCTTTATGGAAGCAATGGGATAAATTCAATGGAGGAGAATATTAAGGAACAGGTGTTTGGGAGTCTGAAAGATGAAAAACACCACTAAAAAGTTAGTCAGCCAGAAGTGACTAGATAGATGGATCTATCTAATCACTGAGATAAATAGGGTTTCTTTTGGTAGAGTATTTACTTGTTGAAGGTTCCATTCAATACCACCCTGGATATTGTAGAGGCCTGTGCTATTGTGTGACTATGGAAGTAGTTATAAACTCACATTTGGATCTGGGACAAGACTTCTGGTTTTGCCAGGTACATTTATCCTGAATTTTTGCTTAATTTACAATATTGTTGTGGATACACACCAATATATGGGAAATGGCAGCTGTGAAAGGCATAGTAGCCTGAGGTCTCACTTTAACCAGTGGAATTTTTCCATGGCAGTTGTCCAAGTAGTCTTCGTGAGGCAGCTGCAGGCAGGTATGTGCTTTCAGTGCTCTTTCATCAATTGCATTCCTGTGCTAAGCCAAGACAAACCTTGTTTTTGCTCTTCTGTTAAGTCAGTCATGTGGATTTATTCTCTCTAAATCCATGCCACTTCCATTGGCCTCAAGCAAAGTCATGGATGATATATGTCAGCTGAAAATGCATTGAAATACAAGAATGGCCGTAATATTTATATTGCTGGACATGAGCTGGCAATGTGCACTCGCAACCCAGAAAGCCAATCATACCCTGGGCTGCAGCAAAAGAAGCATGACCAGCAGGTTGAGGGAGGTGATTCTGCTACTCTGCTCTGCTCTGGTGAGACCCCACCTGCAGTTCTGTGTCCAGCTCCAGAGCCCTCAGCACAGGAAAGACACGGACCTGTTAGAGTGGGTCCAGAGGAGGGCCACAAAAATGATTAGAGGGATGGAACACCTCTCCTATGAGGAAAGGCTGAGAGAACTGGCGTTGTTTAGCCTGGAACAGAGCAGGCTGTGGGGAGATCTTATTGTGGCCTTTCAGTACTTAAAGGGGGGTTATAAGAAAGGTGGGGACAGACTTTTATCAGAGCATTTTGTGATAGGACAATGGCCAATGGTTTTAAACTAAAAGAGGGTAGATTTAGACTAGATATAAGGAAGAAATTTTTTATGATGAGGGTGGTGAAACATTGGAACAGGTTGCCTAGAGTAGTGGAAGCCCCATCCCTGGAAACATTCCAGGTCAGGTTGGATGACACTCTGAGTAACCTGATCTAGTTGAAGATGTCCCTGCTCATTGCAGGCGGGTTGGAGTAGATGGCCTTTAAAGGGCCCTTCCAACTCAAACCATTCTATGATTCTATGAGTCTATAATTTAGAAAATATCCACTTACAGTGGTAATCACCATTTTAGCTGGTTCTTACTTGTAGAAGAATCCCACTAACAACAGTATACTTATAACATTTGTAATACATTGGAATAAGAATTGGACTGCCTTTTAACTGGTTTGTCTGATGTACAGATATTGTATTATCCACAAATATTGCAAGTGGATTCTGTTCACGACTGGGACTTGAATCCAGATTTGAAAAGCTGTTGCAGCCACAAGGCCATACTTAATGCTTACTGCTGCTACCACATATCTAAGTAAGTGAGAGTATACGAATCCTGAAGTGATAGAGACAGAAGGTTCAGATTGCCTTCATAACTGCTGGTGAAGCTCTAAGATCTAGACAGGGTTACAATGTGCCACTGAAACCAGCAAGAAGATAACAGTAACCAAGGTCAAAGGGTTTTTTACAAAGGTTTCCTGGGTCATGTGAATTATAAGGGTGGAGAAGGATACAAGCTGACATTAGGAAAAGGAACCTTGCTGGTGATCAAGCCAGGTGGGTAGCAAACAGTGAAACATTCAGGCGAAAACTTGGACTGAAAGGCAGTAACCCCAACCACATGGCACAGTGAACACAAATTTTAGGTGATGTTGCAAATGGAAAAATACAGATTGTTCCCAGTACTGTCCCAGAAGGTGTAATACACAATCGCAACAGTGAACATTTTTTTATTTGATCGTCCTGTTTCTGATCTTGATAATTTTCTAGCAGATTTCTTTGGTACTTTGATGGTGACCTAAATCAATGTGTTTTGTCATTGCTCCCTTAAATTATTCCCTGCTTTGGAATGCCTGTTGACCTGATTATCAATATGCATTGGGAAAATCTGTCTACATTTTTGTAGAGGTTGGCACCAGTGTGCCAACCAGGGGTATGTGAAACTCACATTTGGAACTGGGACCCAACTTCTTGTCACCCCAAGTAAGTTTGAGCTTTCTGTTCCATATTAACACCAGGATTGCCAAATCATTTGCTCATTGCATAGATGGACTAGGGACTTTCATGGAAGCATGTTCCAACTTCTTTTTGGCTTCCCTTGACAAAAAAAAGTTGGAACAGGGATGCTATGTTGGAATCCATGGAGTGCTTGGCTATGGTGTGGCAGTGACCCACTGCAGGAAAGAACAGTTGAGAAGATGGTAATGTTTGCACAGGTTTAATAGTCATGGCACAGTGCAGGTACACATAAAGTACTGCATACAGTTTACACATGGCTAAAAGCTACATTAAAAATTTAGCATTTTTATAGAGTTTCTGGCTATTAAAGTTTCCAGATTTGATTTTTGCATCTTTAAAATAATATCCGGAAGTTATTCTGACTAATGGCTTATATAATTGATTTCCTAACTCTTAGCCTAAGATAACATGTCATTATTTTTTGGTTTTAAAATCTGAAAGTAAGGCCCCCTTCCATATCTGTAAAAACTGATGTTACAGCGTGAGCAGTTAGGAACTAGAAAATTTGTATTTGGAAAAGGAACCAAATTTGTTGTGATGCATGGTAACTCTCTTTCCTTTCCTCAGTTACATTTTAAAATGCTGTAGAAACCTGAAAAGATGGAATGAATTTTCAAATATCTTTGTGTGTCATCCTCTGGTAAACAGCTTTCCAACATATTTAGTATGAGGAGCCATTGGAATATGCAGCTGGCTGGCAGGAATTTATTGCAGAGGCTTCTCATTGAATGGGAAACTGAAAGAAGAAGTAAATTTGTGTTTGGAAGACAGACTAGATTTAAAGTCAACCCAGCTGAGTAAGATCTGGAGAAGGGCAGGCTATGCAGGTATGAAGGTGGGAGTAGTGTCCACTGGTTAGTGCTTCTGAATAGCTCTACCTTTATTGGGAATGAACATAAACTCTAGATGAAGAGTGGAGGGTGGAATGAAGGCTGAAAGAAAATGAACCCAGGATTATTTTTCAACAGGGTGCTTGTAAAGATGGAGCAGGGAGACTGGGAATAGTGGGAAATGGGACAACAGCTCAATGTCTTAGGTTAGTGATGTTGTCATCTCATTAACTTCTGAGTCCTGTCAGACAGTAATAGTGTATTGCTTTAGACTGAGGGGAAAAAAAATCAGAGATACCTCTGGGTTCATGTTTAAGTTTTAGTTTCACACTGCATTGCGAAGAAATTTTGCAGGTGATTTAGACTATACTATTTGCAATGATTCAGACTGGGGTGCGTGGGATACTGGACCTAGGAGAGTAATTTAAGGAAATGGCACAAGGCTATGATCCCAAATAAGTTATCTGTTTAAATGTACCCATTAAATAGACTGATCAGGAAAGGATGTCGTTTTGCTGTGAAATAGACATCTACATCTGAGACAATTCCACAAGTGTAAGATCAAACATTGATCTGACTTTTTGATATCAACATAAAAATGATCTTCTGCCTGGTTTTTGAAAGAGGTTTTAGGTTTATTCTTTTGAATGTCTTTTTTTCTTACTCATTAAACAAATATGACTTTTTTGGCTGGTGCTACATGAATAGTTAATCTGCAATTCAGAAAGTTTCTTTTTTTTTGAGTTGAAATTATTTGAATTGAGGGTTGGACTAGATGACCTTTAAAGGTCCCTTTCAACCCAAACCATTCTATGATTCTATGATTTTTTTTAATAGAAATCAAATCACCGACATACATATAAAATTGGAAACTTGTTCTGGCAATTAAAACCCACTCTGATTTTGGAAGAAAAAGCATGCAAAATTATTTTGTGAAAATGACAGAGGATCTCAGGAGGTTCATGAGCAGCCACTTCAAGTCTTTTTGTTTCCATAAAAATGTTACACAGAGGGGTTAAGCCATCTCATTCACCTGTGAGCTTTAAAGAGTGGATTAGATAAGCAGACTTGCTCCTTCTGACCCCCCAAAATCTGTCCTTAACATCATTGAAACGAGCAGCAGAGGAGATCATAGTAAATCTAACCTGCAGTTTAGGTGATGCATGAACAAATCTGTACATGAACACAAATACAGTATTGCTTCCCAATATGGAATTTAAGAAACAATCATCTCAATTTTTCCTTAATGTGAGCACATGCTATAACACCAGGATTTATCTTGTTTTTGTACTAGAGGAGTATTTCGTCCACTGAACACTTGATTTCTCCTCCCATACTGGGTATCTTCCCCAATTAATTCAGCTTTAGTTTTGGTTCAGAGCGAAGTCTTCCCCTTTAAAGCTTTGTGAGAAAGATCTTGGATGGTTTTGGTAGTTTGACTTCCCCAAGTGTAATTACAGAGGCACCGATAAACACATTTTTGGAGTGGAGACCAGAATTATGTCTGAATCCTGTAAGTGGAGCAGCATATTCACATTGGCAAATACTGAATCTGTGCACAGAGTTCTTGTACTTTGGATGACTTGTCTGATGCTGGACTAGCACCTGGCTTCTTCTATCTGAGTGCCTCCAGACATGAGCACTGGAAGTCCAGAGAAGCGTTCAGGTATTAAAAGAAGCGTTCAAGTATTAAATGTAGACATCTAGGCTCGCTGTAGACATCCTCGCATCCATGCATGGCTGGCAGATTTCACAAAGGACCTCTGCTATATCTTTTGTAATTTCCATTGGAGGACAGCCAGCAAACATCACTGAAGTTCTTGTTAAGTCACTGGAGTTGCTCCTCTGGGGTCAAGATTAGCCTGTATGAGTGTTTGAGGGGGTGTATTTCCTCTGAGTTGGGCGACAGCTCCAGGCTGAGTCTAGCTGTGGAATATCATGTCTCTGGCTAAGAAATGGTAAGATGATCAAAGACCTTTATCACACCAACTCCAGTCTGACCAGAGATTCAGAAAGTTTGCTCTGGAGGGAATGGAGAATGAGATAAATCTCTGTATAATACAAGCTGTGTGTTAAACTAGTTCAGGATTTCTACTGCAGCTTGTTTGGAAAAAACAGCATAGGTGTCAGTCTGATGTTGGAATGGGCTTCTACGGCTCACTCCCTGAAATCAGCCTCTGGAGTTGGCTTTCTTTGTAGACTGGTCAGGAATAGCATTCCAACAGCTCCTGTTCTTCAACATGGAAGATATCCTTCAGTAAATATTAAATTAGGCACGGGGGACAGCTCAAGAGTATCATGATTTACTTCTCAATCTTTCCCGCAAATAGAGGTTATAACTATCAATACAGCATCTCCAACACATCCACCAACTCATTAAGACAGAATAACAGGAAACATAGGTCACAGTGCTGTGGTTATAATAGCTGATATTTACCAAGACTGCTATCTGCAAACTTTCATAACAGTGTGCAAATATGCAAAGCAACTTATCGGAAAAAGATTCTAGTACCAGAACAAAGCCAGCAGCCACTCCGAGCAAGAATGAGAAATGAGTATTTTGCAAAACAGGTATTGCTGAAGTTGCCTGCAAAAACTTGACCTTATTTTTTACCTGCTCAAGATAAAAGAATTACACAGATTGAAATGGTGAAAAACATCCCAATTTGGAGAGAGGTGGATATGCAGTGCTTCAGAAAGCACAGTACTCATAATGAGAGATGCAGAACAGCTCAATCAATTCCTCCTCTTTCGTATCCATGTACTCCATGACAATGATGTATGCTGGTTCATCTGTACTTTATACAGGGATCTACCATCAAGCTTTGTATCTGCTCCTGTCTCCTTTCCCTAACAAATGATCACTGAAATCTATTTCCAAAACAGTAAATGATAGTATGGGAGGCGGGGAGTGGGGTTGAGGGAATCAGAACATACATTAGACCATATTCTGCATAGCTGGGAAAGAGACAGTCTCAACAGGTTTTTCAAAGCCAGGGCAAAGCTGGGACAGATGAACCACAATTCAGGGGAAGGGCCAGAGAATGAATCATTAGGCTTTGTGGATTAGTTTTTTTCTGAGATCATACTAATAAAGAAGGATGGCTGTTTCTCTAAGGTGCTGACAACTGACAACTGAACAGATGAAAAGCACTTATCATCTCAGTGACAGAACTAGGGTCTGCACTTGCATAAGAATTTGGGACAGTTTCTCAAAGCCAAAATTCAGTCCAAACTTTCCCCTCAGGAAAAAATTAAAACTTCTTCATCTGGGAGCTAAGCTGTCTTTAGTATTTCTATAATATTTATCAGTGTGGTGTGTGAACAGGGACAAAACAAATATTCATCTAAACTCTTAACCCTATGTGATAACATTTTGTCAGTTCATAAATGTGAGCTGAAGCTCTGGTTTAAACCTGTGATTGCGAAGTCCAACGGAAAATGCAGGCAGAGGGTTGCTGTGAGCCCCAAATCTGTATCTTAGCTACTGAATGTCTTCAGTGATATTTCGTTTTTTCATCATTAAGGTACTGTAATGCCCATAACATTTTACTATTACTCACGAACAAAGATTTAGGAAAGCACCTTCTCAAAGAATCAGACTTCAGAAATGGGACAAGATGAGATGCACGCATAGAGTACAAGTTTACAAAGCTAAATGTGCAAAAAAGAGTTTAACCACAGGTAGCATTTTGACATGTGTGGAAAATCCTAGTCTAACTGACTTGCTAGCAGAATTTGAAGCAAGAAAACAGAAATAAACCCCAGGTGTCTGGGGTCTACAGCTTTTAGTTCCCCAAACCCCTCTTCTGCAGGGTAAAATTGAGTAAAAAAATCTTGCACTACACTGTCAGGGCTTTGCAGTGTCTTTCTTAGCTTTCTCCTACAGGAACACAGTTAGCTAGACTTGTGGTAAATGTGGAGACCCTTAAGATTTGGTAATTTATCCTGTGTCCCTCAGGACAGGTGGAGAAAATGGGATTTTGAATGTCAGTGATGGATTTAACTACACATTTGCAGAAAGGGCAGAATGCCCCTGGGCTGCTCAGTTCTCTCCACACACATTACATCTCCTAGCAGTGAAGGAAGAAGAGAGTGCTCTCTCTGCCTGTTATACACATTCCTGAATGCGTCCAGATCCATAAAGGAAGCCTGGGCTGCACAGTAGAGTGGAACAAGTTGTTACAGAGAGGAATGACTAGGTTAGATATGGACATCTAGGGTGTGGATACCCACATGACTGTCATTTGAGATGCTCTAGGGATCCTGCCTGATCACTGTCTGTGTCTCTCGCACAACATAAGTCAACAAAAGTCTTGTGTAGCTTCTGCATCATCTGCTGTGGATGCCTTGGTTCTCTAAAGTTGTCCTAGCACAAGATGCCTATAATCAGGCAACTTCTCACTGGAATCACAGAAAAACCTATATACCTATGTGTCTGTATGTTAGGACTGAAGGAACTATGACTGTGTAGTCTCATCTAACGTCTCTTCTCCTCTCCGTTTTCAGATGTTACTCCATCTCCTTCAGTCTACAGGCTGATCTCTAAAGATGATGAGGATTTGGAAATGTGCCTTATCACAGATTACTCCCCTGAAAAGCTTACACTTAACTTGGCTGATAAACAGACAAATGCTGTTGTGGAGGTGGCAACACCCGAGAACAAACATGAAGCTAGCTACCTGTCAACCTACTGGGCCAAGAAAGATGAAATGCAGTGCCATGCAAATCACGAAGACTTTGGAGAACTGAAGGGAGAGGATCCTGAAAGTGGTAATGGCATTGTCGGATGTGTGAACAGGGCTAGAGCTGTTCTGGTTTCTGTGCTATTAGTATGAACAGTACTTGTTCACATCTCCTAGCCTTGCAAACAAGGCTGAATTCTGCTACCATATTCCACAGGAATGTTTCTTTGTTGCCTCTGTTTTCTTTTGCCTTTCTCCTTGGTGGAAGCAGGATTAAGGGTCAGTAGACTGCAGTGTACACTCACAGCTGAGAGATCTTAAAATCACACTGTGAGGTATACAAATCTTGAAATTCCTTTGCCCGATGGGACAGTAAAGTGCACTAAAGATCATATTTTGTGCTTGCCCTGAAAACAGCAGAAATTAATGTTTATGGGAAGGTTTACTGGCCAGAAACTCTAATCCAGTCCTTCTAAGTAAAGAAACATTTATGAACTTTGGAAGAAGTACATTTCTGTTATTTATTCAATTTATTGTTACTATCTGCAGGTGCCAGCACTGTCTGTGTTACAGGCATGTCTCTACACTTCAGGACAGGTATGTACACAGCATTTTAGGAGTAAAGCTTAGCCTAATTAAAGGAAATCTCTTCACTGTTTGCAGAATTCCTGTTGGAGAAAAAAGCTCAGAATGGAAATTTCCAAAAGGGCCCCACAGGCTTTAAACATCAAGGCTAGAAGTCCTTGGGTTAATGTAGTCTTCCAGATCCGAGCTGGCAATTTTACATGACCAGTGTAGCCAGTGCCTACATGCCCTTGCTAGGACTAGCCAAACAACTATTCCTCATCACATAACTATTTAAGGTACTGATATGAGTCAGCCTTACTGGATGTTTGTCTGCATTCCAGACTTCAAAAGAGTTGTTTTTATATTTGGGTGCACAAACACCTAATGAACCAAAAGATAAGCAGGTGGTTTCTGCACTGTGTGCTCAGAAGCAGGGTTGCACCAAAGATACGGTGCATTTGAGCAAGCTTTGTTTCAGCTCATGGCTGTGGGAGTAAACTAGCTGGTGCAGGAGCCCAAGCAATTGCTGTTCCTGCTAGTTCAAAGGAGCTGAGCTTGCCTCTGCACTTGCCCCGTTTGCAGAATAGCTGTACTTTTGCAAATATGCAGCCTTCCTGAAAGGCAACCACTTAGGCAAATGTTTCTAAAACATCACTTCAGGAAAATAATTCTTAGTAAATTTGGCTGATTTGATCAGTCATTTCAGAGAGAGCTTTTAAAAGATAAAAATAAAACGACTTTTCAATGACAGCTCTCTGCTTCCCCAATATCAGTCAATGTATTTTCAAATGAAAATGGCTTTATAACTTAATCTTAATAGAAAACCCAAATAGTTTTTGTGTCTTTGAACAAAATTTTATCTTTTTCTCCCTTGTCCATCTCAAAAAAATCTAGGGAGAGGAAGGAGGGACACCTCCAGCACCCTGGGTTCATAATACACTGTATTTAAAAACAGCTAGATGATTGGAAAACTTGCATATTGGATAATTAAGTGGTTATTGAATGAAAACCTCGCCCTTGAAACACCAACTGGAACAAATGAAAGTCAGTGAGACAGTCCTGCTCACCGTCTCTTTAGCTATCCTACTAGCTGACTCAGTTACACAAAGTGGAACAGCTTCATTCAGAACTGCTTTTAAGATTGTCTGGAAGCCAGGATATCTCAGTGCTTTTGTGACTTTCATTCTCCGTTACTTTTACAGATGAAAACCTGAACATGCTGTCCTTATCACAGCTGGGCCTGAAAATAATTTTAATGAAAGGAATCATTTTTAATGTGATGATGACGATGCTTATGTGGAAAAAAAAGTGAGTACGCATGGGGGTGGTAAGGCCTGACAGAAAACATCTGGATCAGTTCATGAGTTATGAATGTTCCTTCTCTCTGTAATACATGTTTATGCAGTCTATCCATACACCTTTTGTCTACCAACAGTAAAATCCCTCTACTTCTTGGGCCATATTGCTCTTTTCGTCCAGCCCTCAAGTTTATTTTCTTTTCCTTAGCCACATGCAAATTTAACTTTTTTCTTCTTTCTAGACATGTCTTCCTTCTACCTCTGTATCCATCCCTTCCCTTGTCTGCATTCATCCATCAGAGTCATCCCCTGACCAGTCTCCAGCAGGGAAAGTTTGATGCGTGTTGACCTTAAGACCTCAGACCTAACATATTAGTTTTGGCTTAGTACCTCTTTCTCCTCTTTCTATTGCCTAGGCACTTCAGGTCTACAATTGTGTAGCTGTGACTGTATTCAAAATAATGATTATATAACAATCCCTTTATTTTTGTTACAGGAATGAAAGTAACCAGATGGTGCAGTCCTGAAGTACCAAAAAAACTGTGCTGAGGAACGTGTACCAGAGCATCGTGTTGAAACGGGAACATCGGCATTCTTGTTGCAAGGGATCTCACTTGTTTCTCTACATCACGCCAACCATCCTAGCCTAAATTGCTTTATTTGCACTGTTATAAAGCTACCCAAAGATAAGCTTAAATTTTTCAGCATTCTGCTTCCCAAGACGCTTGATTCATTTAGCATGACAATGCCCCTTCTGCATGAAGCACAGTTTGCTATAACTATAAATTGCCAAACATCACTATTACCTGTGTTAAAATAACACACGATTCTGCTTGGGGCAGTGCTGTTTGTTGAAAACTGCAAGATAAATATCACTTGAATGTGCATTTTTCATATTTTGATAGCTTTCAAGTATGCATATCTCAGAGTGCACCCCCACAGGCACCTTTTCAGTTGCAACTGAAACACTCTGAAAAGTAGAAGGACACTTCTTCAGGGTGCTATGCACCATGTCCTGCTATCTTTTGCTAGATCAGAGCAAGGTTATTTTTTTTTCCCCTAAAAGATGTGCTACTAGGTCTCTCAGAAGTCCTGAATTCAGTGAAATTCTCACTTCATTATCACAGAACAAAAGAATGGGTTTTTGTATTTTTTGAAGTCTACCTGGCCTTAACATTTTCTGAATTTAAACCAGTTTAAGATTTGGCTTTGCTTTTAGTAAAAATACAAACTGCTTTTGTTCTTTTTGGTTAGTTCTAATAACCTTAGATTTCCCATGTTCTTTTTATACTCATTGCATAAAACTACACTGAAATATTTACCTGTCCATGTGGGCACTCCTTGGAAACAGTCCATGCATGTGAAATTCGCATGCTGCTAATTCTTGAATTGTACTGGCAACCACACTGATGTCTTGGCATTTCTTTAGGCCTTTGGCTGCTATTAAACAATTCTTATAAAAAATAAGAAACTTGTTTGTATTTTGTCTTTGTAGTTTGAGGAACTTGTTTTACCCTTCAGATGAGCTTTAGAAATGAGCCTGGCCGTTGAGGGGGAGGAGGGAAGGGGCATCAGGACTCTCTCTTCAGCCTGACTTGGCCACCAGGTGCTGTTTGCAATAACTGGCTGGATCCACCGTGGGGGTGACAGCTACAAAGTCCCTTTCCAGGACATCTTTGCTGTGAGATCAGCGTGGCTGGCTTGGAGCACGGGGAATGGAGGAAAGCATCTCTCCTCCAAGAGTAGACTCTGTGCAAAGTAAAAACAATGGTAAAATGTGGCTTGCCCAGAGTGAGAGGACTAGTATGTGGTCCGAGTTCTTGAAGGCAGATGTCTGCTGCTATGGGGAACACAGGAGGCTGAAGTGTCCTGCCTCTAAGTGTCCCCCAGTCCCAAGTGCCATTGGAGAACAAGGTGCCTGCTCTGCACTCCTGACACCAACTGACCGACCTGCATCTCCAGGTTCAGTTTGTCACCGGCAAGACTGGAAAGGAAATTTTTGCCTTTTGTGACATTGATTTCTCCGCCTTCTTCTGAAGCATCAGAGATTTCTCTGGAGGAAGAAATGCAAAGGGTGCTCTGAAAGAAAGACACCCCTCCTGCAAAGCATGAACTTTGCTTGGACCTCATACCAGTGCCCAAACTGCATGGCAGGGAAAGCCTCACCAGACTGGTGGGGGTAGTTCCCTCTCATGAGATATTTTTTACTCTGCTGGATTCACAGCCATCATAATGAACTTCGATTTTTGGAAAGGCTCATGTTTCAAATGCTGTTAGCCAAAAGCCCCGGCACTTCATGCCTTCTGCCACTCTACTCTGGTGACACCCCACTGGGAGCCCTGCATCCAGCCCTGGAGCCCTCAGCACAGGAAAGACAGGACCTGTTGGAGCGGGGCCAGAGTAAGGCCACGAAAATGATTAGAGGGATGGAACACCTATGTTGTGAGGAAAGGCTGAGAGAACTGGGGCTGTTCAGCACGGAGAAGCGAAGGGTCCAGTGAGACCTTATTGTGGCCTTTCATTACTTAAAGGGAACTTATAAGAAAGATGGGGACAAACTTCTTAGCAGGGCCTCCTGTGATAGGACAAGGGGCATTGATTTTAAACTAAAAAAGGGTAGATTTAGACTAGATATAAGGAATACATTTTTTATGATGAGGGTAGTGAAATACTGGAACAGATTACCCAGAGAGGTGGCAGAAGCCCAGGTCAGATTGGACGGGGCTCTGAGCAACCTGATCTAGCTGAGAATGTCCCTGCTCATTGCAGGGGGGTTAGACTAGATGGCCTTTACAGGTCCCTTCCAACCCAAATTATTCTATGCTTCTATTCTATAATTCATGTGGGAGAGGGTCTCCGTGTGAAGACCATGTCAGCATCCGTGCCACAGGATCTGACTCCACAGTGCTGAGCAGCAACACAACAAAGTCTCCCTGGTCTCCTGCCATGGTTGTGCCACCTGACCGTTTAGCAGGTGGCCTGTCACAGGGTGACAGAGAGTTATTGACCCCTCCTGCCAAGGATCAAGGATTGAACTTTATTTTATACTACAAATGTTCAGGGACTCATTCTCTTGTCTCTCCCTTGACACAACAGTTACTCTCATTTCTCTCCATCTGTAGAAAGCCCATGGCTCTTTAAATGCTAGATTCCAGGCAGTTCTTGAAGCTTAAATTTCGCTCAAGGTGAGGTCTGCCATGTCACAGGGAAACAGCTTGATGAAGCTACTTAAACCATATTTGAATCATAAAGCAAGTAATTGCATTTCACAGATTTCCAACTGATTAACCTCATCCCAGAAGCCTTTTGGGATGTGGAAGAAAGGTTTCCATGCTCATTTACATCTAGCATCACTTTTTAAAAATTAATATCCATCTTAATTTTTTTGTGTTGCACATCAAACCCACTCCCAGCTTTATGGTCAAGGAGGAAGAACAGTGTGCTACCTCTGTTTCTACATCTCAGTCTTTTCTCTTCTAGACTAAACGACCCCAGTGATAAAATTTGCTGAGTTAGGGGATGAGTATACAGATAAAGTTAAATGTTTAGACTAAAGTGACTCTTAGCATGTCACCTGCAAAACACTGAACTTGTAGGTCTAGTTCAAAGATACTTTTAGATATTGGGCTCTCAATTTCCCACCACCACAATGTGCCCCCCTCCTTGCGCTTTCTTGTTTATTTCAAGAAAGAAAAACCGCAGCGCAAAGCAAAGGCAGGAAATAACACAGTAGGACAGGACGTGGAAGGGGTCTCATGGCCCAGGTGGGACAGGAAGAGCACGCGTCACCAGTTCCATGACGCCACAATCGAGATCTGGGTCAGCTTTTGAAGCTCCTCTACGCCCTACCGCAGAAACCACTTCCTCTGGAAAGTGGAGAGCAAAACAGGGGTGGGGGGAGCAGGGCTGGTGTGGCACGTGGCAGGGAGGAGGAGAAGCGTGCGGAAAAGAACAGCAGACGTTAGACCACAAGCCAAAGTCGAATGAGGTTCAGGCACCCTCCCTTCCTGCCTCCTCACCACAGCCAGCTCTTGGGTCTGGGGACAGTTGTTTTGGGTACAGCAGGAAAGACTGAGCTATGTATAGCATAGGCAGGGGAAAGAAGGGGAGAAAATACATTATAAAGTGTGGTGGTTGGTGGGGAGAGATCTTAGAGGTGTGTAAGATTTCTGAATTTGCTGATAGGCCTCTGCACCCTGTTATACAGACAGTGAATCCAAGCAGTAAAATACTTTCACTTCTCCCAACCTGAAAGAGCAGGTAGGAAGACGGGGCAGGCCAGAGAGTCCTCACACATTGGCAAGGAAGAAGAAGTTGCCATGGTCCATCTTTAGCACGCCCTCCCCTGTGCCAGTTCCTGCCCCCAAATACCTACCTATGGGTAGGAGATGAATATGAACTTGCATCTTTCCTAGGGTTTTTGCTGGAGAAAAGAGGCTGTGTGAGATTTGTCATCTCTCATTAAATTTCGCCCTCTACACAAAACAACCTCTCTTCTTGCCCTCTTCTACAGTGTGAACAGGGACCCGAGCATGGTCTTTATAAGGAGCAGAGCTTTAAAATATCTACCGACTTGCTGCAGCTTATTCGGGTGTGGGAATAGCTCTAATAGGACCTGAATTCTAGTGCTGAGTTTATAGCAACTAGAGGTCTCGCAAGCTAGTAAAAATCTGGAAAAAAAAGAAACCCCACTGAAACGCCCCGGTTTCCCCTTTTCCACAGGCTCCCGCGCAGTTCCTAGCAGCGGCCACAGGAGGGTCCCAGCCTGGCGCTCTCTCTGAAGCCGAAGCGTGGGGAGGCCGAGTCCCACGGACCCGCCGGGAGGCACTCGCGGCTTGCGAACAGGAGCAGCTGCGGTGGCAAAGCGGAGACCCCGAGCTGTCCCTCCTTCTGCGAACACGCTGGCTCTGTCTGCCATCGGCCTGGCTCAGAGAGGGCCCTCCTGACGGGAACGAATTGCTCGGTAGCTCATTTACAATGCCTGCATGCTGTCGAGTCCCCTGCCTGCTCCCCGTCCAGTACAAAGCTGGTACCACCGTAAACAAACCCAGCTTAATGCCTGGGGCTGGAGGAGGGTGATGGTGCAGAGCTGGCATGAATTCTCTGCTCCTACCACAGAGCCAGACAGGATCCTCTGACACAGCAAAGACCCTGCTCCCTCATACCACTACTCTTTAGTAAGCAAGAGACTTGGGAGCCCCAGGTTTCACACTTTTATGGGTTTAATGGCTACAGCATGGCTGGAAATGCCAAGAAGAAAAAAATGGTAAACTGGAGCCATAATCTAATGTCGAGAGGCTGAAGCTATCAGACCCCATGTTTTGCCTCCTCAGCAGCAGTAGCCAAGCATTTCTCTGTCACATAGTCTAAAGGCACATTTTGCCTATCCAGCGTTTCAGCCGCAGAACAAAGTAGCCAAGTGTGAAACAGGATCAGTACAAGGATGGACACCGATGCCTGAAGGTAACCCAGGTAAATTCTGCAGCCAAAGGAGTGGAGGGGCTAGCTGGGGTTTATATCTCATCCTGTGCTCACAATCTGATCACCACAGGGCTCTAATTTTCCATCAGGACAAAGAAGTATTTGACCTCAATGCAGGAGCCAGCTTGGGGTTGAGGAGACAATGGCCATCGGCCACAGCCTTTGAGTTTAATCATTTCACCATGCTTTAGAGGGTGAAGGATTTCCAACAAAGTTAAGTTGGAGGGGTGACCTTCTCCATGGACTCAGAACAGCTCAAGTGCATCTGTTGGAGGCACTGATACAGTGTGGCAGCCCCTTCCTACATCCTTGGGTTTATCAGCACACCTGATGGGAGTGCCTGTGGGAAGATGCCGGAGGACATCCTCCACTTGCTTCTGTTCATGACCACTAACCACAGCCTAACCCAAATTTTCCACAGCTTTGAAGCCTGGGGGCACACTTTCCATAAGATAAAGGGGCAGGAAACCAGGAGATGAAAAGGGTGGATGACAGCTGAGTTGCCATGACGACTTGTTTCCTGCTTCCCTCTGAAACCAGGGCACAGAAAAAAAGACTGCTGGGTAGAAAGGGAGGGAGGGGAGTAAAAACAGGAAGCTGTGCCTGACAGCGAACTCGGGTATCAGAAGAACCTCTGTATTTGTCAACAATAGGGAAAAAATTACAGTGTTATAAAGGGTTTTATTGATGGAAAGGATTACAGTAACTGTAATGAGGCAACAGATCCCTCCATAGCACAGTCTGTGGGGAAAGATCTTGAGCCCTGCATCCCCCTCCTCCACCAAAGAAGAAGGTAATAGTCTGCTGAGGAACAGCACTTCCCAACACCAGGCTTTGGCATCAGAGCTCAAGAGCAATTCAAGACCTGGAAAGAGAGAAAGGCAATACCTGTGACATTTCTGCAAAGGGAAATACCCCAGAAGCTCCAGTGAGCTTGTGGTCCCTTGCAACACCAACAATAGAGCATGTCCTCCACTTTCCAGCACGAAACTCTCCCTGTCCCAAGCTCCCTCCTCTCAGCTGCTGAAAACCCGCAGATTTGGACATCAGCCATACCATGGCCTCCAAATAGAGCCCTGGAGTTCCAGCTCCCAAGGCCCCTTTTGCAAAATGGTGCACTTCTCTCAGAAGACAGAAATGTGGGTAGATTTCTGTTACACTCCTAGTTAAAGTACCTTTTAAATGACAAAAGCCAAAAAAATACATGCACGAAACCAGAAAGCTGTAAATCCTAACCCTGTATCAATCTAGAGGACAACAGCTTAACTGTACTTGGCCAAGACAAAGCTAGGACTCCTGGATTCACTATCTTTCTAGTTCTCTCCCAACTCTACAAAAGTACTGAAGTTGTGTGAGCTATTGTTGCCCCTTTTGTGACCCCATGGATCAGTACCTCACAGTCTCCTCTAGAGCTCAGCCAACAAAATTGATGACGACAAGATGGAGGATGGTGTTGGCAAAGAGGAAATCGGCAAATGCCCGCTCCGGTGAAATGCCTTGGAACTCGCCTTTATTCTGGGGGTTGATCTGGATCCGGAGGCAAACTGCATGGCAGAGAAAGCATGAGAGATTAGAGATCACAAAAGGAAGTCATGGTGGGAAGCACAGCCTTCCCAGGGCAGCGCACCCCAGCCTGGGTCACTGTTCCACCAGAATACCACACGAAACAATAACTCTGTCTTTGTTGCAAGATGAGCAGAACACTAGCAGCGGATTTGCACAGGGCTTTTACACCACACCCTTACACCATCGGGGGTGGCCAAGTGAGTCCCAAGTGGAACATGCTTGTAACGGGACAGGACTCGCACAGAAATAGGGATGTTTCTAATGTCCTCTATTGAATGCGTTGGGGCGGGCTGCACAGCAACAAGGTGATTTTGGGGGTGTTATGGGAGAGCAACACCTTGAAGCAGTCATTGCTAAAGTTTGGGCTTTACCATGGGACGGTTGCCAAAGGAGACCGACATAACATGGTAAAAGGGAGGGCTCCGTGACTACTGGGGAGAAGCAAGGACACCTTGGGGCTGGTAAGAAGCTGGCTTCTGTAGTACATACAGGCAGGAACCCTACAAGTTCACAGTGGCTGTAGAGCATCCTGTGGCAGGGCAGGAGCCCGGGGGTTTCTGGGAGCAGAACTGGGCGTTATGGGGGAAGGGGAGCCATGGGACTGCCACGGGACACCGTGGCTGCCGCGCTAGGGGGGA